GGAATTTGATCTTTTCTGGTGCAGTTTTGCTTCATTTCCACACTGCTTTCGTATGTGTTTCTCTTTTTAGTACACAGTTTAGTTTCTTAATAAGAAAAGGAAAAAGGATTAAAGCCTGATAACTGCTAATCTGCACGTTGCCTTGTTCCTTATCTATTTTCATTCCCACACAGGGCTTCTTTGCTTGTCAAAGCAAAGCTTATGGTGTATTGGGATTAATCTACTTTGGTCATTTCCACTTTCAAGAGCAAATATGGTTCCTAATAATTTGGTCTGTTATCAAATAGTTTTGCTCTGGGATTGAAATCTCCACAATCTTTGTTGCATCTGTTAAAAGATATTTTAGCTTGACTAATGTAGCTTGGTATATTTAGGAACTCATCATATTTGGATTCATACTTGGATCCTGCTTTCATGGCTTTAATTAAAGATCCAGATCAAAGACGCAAGGAACAATGGGAAAAAACTGCCCAGGCTCAGACTGGATGGCATTGTGGTAAAATGCTTGGGTTTGGTGACCTTGGTGGACCTCCTTTATCTGCTGCTGAAGAATACTCACTTCATTCGAGATATCTTGCTAAAGCAAATTCACTTAATCTCTCTGAAATTGCAGAGATGAAAATTGTGTGAGTATCTAATTTCTTGTTTGTTTCCCCATGCCTATATGCGTGTGTATATATATTGTTATCAACTACTCTCCATCCAACAATCAAAATGTGAGGTGGACATTTATCCAAGGATAATTGTTCTTGGACTTGTGGATCTTCGCACCAATTAATATTTTGTTTATTTATGTTTCTTTACTTTTTGTGAGGCTTTGTTGTTGTTTCTTTATGGAGAGAGAATGTTTCAAGGAAGTGGTTTTTTTGAGTCATTAGAGTTTATATGTGCCAGTGGTTAATAGAAGTGCCTATAGAAATATCATGTTCCCCATTATGAAATGTACTGAATTCTAGTATCTGTCTCTCCTTGGCATGTTAATTAGTCAGAGGTTTGTGAAAACCAGAAGGGTGAGATACTTCCATGGCAAAGGTGGAAGTACAGTTGTCTTGTTACATTTCTGAACATGTTTGGTTCTTCTGCATTTCTGTAAATATTTCTAGCTTGAGATGCCTATAATTATGCTCCATTGCAGTTACCGGGGCGGAGTCGATTGTGAGGGTCGCCCTGTTATGGTTGTTGTCGGAGCACATTTTTTACTGCGTTGTCTTGATCTTGAGCGATTTGTGCTTTATGTTGTAAAGGTAATTTAATTCTAATCGTCAATACTAAGCATTTATTTTTTCCTATTAGATTTTTGTATGTTAGACTCCTTAGAAGCATGAGCATAGATATGGATATTGGACACAATGGCTCGGCCGCCGTTCAAAATTGATAGGGATCTGGTAGGATGATATTGATTAACTTCTATTCTTACATTTTAGATTGTTTCAAGCATTCATACTTTATGACTTATAAGGATATATGTGTGTATATATATGAATATCTGTTCACAATCATGCTTTGTTAAATAATTATGCTGTATTGTACTTCTCTAAGGATGCAACATTCTCCAATAAGATGATACAACCAAGTCAAATGTCTCACTAAGTAAATAAATAAGTTGATCAGATACAAACTTCTGTTCCAAATGTCATTTCCTGCATCCTCTATAATCAAGCTGCTTTCTTTTCTTTCTTCTTTTTTTTTTATCCTAATTTTACGTTTATTTACATTTTCTTACCAAGAAAATGTAGTCACCATTCTGTTTCTTTTCTTTCTTTTTTATTTACATTTTTGTGTAATTAATTAATTAATTATTTTTTTTTATCAGTGAAGTTGTCACCCTCCTCAAGTTATTTTCTTTAATGGGAATCTGCACGCTAGACTATAAAGTAATCTATTTTTTTGTAATAGTATTTTCTTCATTTTCTCTAGTAGTTTCTCTACATGCTGCACACGTCTCCCTGGTGCCCGTGTTGCATGCTGCTCTTACTTGTCCCCACATGTCTCTTGTGCACCACCACGTGTCTTGTGTATGGCCCCATGTCTTTCATTAATGTTTTCCATGTCTAAAATTCCATATATAACAAATGCATGTGTACATGTGCACACACTATTAAAATGCATGCTTAGCACAAACTCAGTTTGCTTTGGGAGGTGTAAATGGCTCATGATAATCTACCTAGGAAAAATGAATATACGGGAAAGTATATAATATCTATGGACTAAGAGTAACAAAATAAATTATGATGTTAGGAACTTAGGGAATTCGAAATTGTAAGAAAAGGAAAGAGATGTGGAAGATCTTTTTCCTCAAATTATGTTTAATCCATTTACAAACCTTTCACCAATGGATGTTGTTTTTGTTTTTGTTTTTTTGTTTTTTTGTTTTTGTTTTTATTTTTTTAGTTAGTTATAATATTTAATAATATAGAATTTTAGGAGTCTTACTTAGATTGCTTTTTAATATTTTTCATTTACAACGTATTGATTAAAAATGATCTTTCTATAGAATTTATTCCCATTTCAGTTGATTTCATTGAGATGATCCAACATCAAACCAAACTGTGCTCAAAATAGTGTTTGTGGTTCCTGGTTAACCACTAATCTTGGCACTACTTTCTGGAACATTATTTCTTTGTTGTGCTATGAAATTCTTCAGTTTATGTACTTAAGACTTGTTTTTTAAAAATTCCAGGAATTTGAACCATTAATACAGAAGCCCTATACAATTGTGTACTTCCACTCAGCAGCATCTTTACAACCGTAAGTGGCATAATATCTACTTGAAGTGATCCTCTATATTTATCCATTGTCATGTGCTATGAAATTATTCCGTTTATCGTTTATATGTCCCTGACCATGGAAACATTGAATGCATCACAAATGCAAGATTCTGTAGCTCTGGAATCAAACTTTCAAACAATGTAAAATTTAAGAATCGATCATCAAATGAAATGCTAAACTTCTGGAGAAATGTGCATTTTGAAGCTTGACTGTTATAGAAAGTGTCATAATGAAACCTAGTTCTGCGCTTTCTGTTCTTGATTGTGCATGTATGGAGTAGTTATCCAGAATCTAACTTTTCTGATCATGTCTATGGTCAATATGCTGTTAGTCGGCCGGACATGGGATGGATGAAGAGATTGGAGCAGATTCTTGGCCGAAAACACCAGCGTAACCTCCATGTATGGACTCCAATTTATTCCAGTGCTTTATGCAGAGCAAAAACCCGCTTTTATTTTTCTCATCAATGTGTATGGTTTTTATAGGCAATATATGTTCTTCACCCAACCTTTGGATTGAAAGCTGCAGTATTTGCCATGCAATTATTTGTGGATAATGGGGTAGGTTTGAAGTTTTTTTGTTATAATCTTTTGTAATTTTTTGCATTGAATGGGATCAGAAGTTTTTGTAACTGAAAGTAACGGATCTTCAGGTATGGAACAAAGTTGTGTACATCGATCGACTTCTGCAGCTGTTCAAATATGTTCCTCGTGAGCAGTTGACCATCCCCGATTTCGTATTTCAGTGAGTTTATGTTTACTTTGAAATCTTTTTGAAAAGTACTTATTTCTATTAATTAAAGTTTGATACCTTGAGAAACTTGTGCACATACTCAAAGTTAGAGCAAAATAGCTTTTGGAGTATCTAAGTGGCCTATGAATCTCTCTTTTTTATTGGCACAGTGGATACCATGTCACAGTGGATACTCAAAGTAACGGTTCTGGATGTGTTTTCTTTTCTATTTGATTGATATCCATTTATTTTACAATTCAAGTTTCAAGGTCCTTAGTTTGTGAAGATTACAATTGAGAAAAATCAGACCCCTCATTCTATGATAAATGCAGGCATGATTTAGAAGTGAATGGAGGGAAAGGCCTGATTGTGGATCCCCGAACGAAATACGTGTACCATCGTCCTTAGCATCAACAAAACAGCATGGATAATTTCTCAAGCTGTAAATCACATTATCGGCTGTGATTATGCTGCTGCTTAATCATCCTTTAGTGTCTCTTAGAAGTGGTAGGTGTTGATTATGTTTGTAGAAATGTTATTCCCATTTTCTTTCATTTTGTATTCCTCACTTTTGTCTTGTGAAGATGAAATAACGATATTCCTTCTGTATGTTATGTTGGACGAGCTTTTAATAAAATGAAAAAATGTTATTCCAAGGTTGTGCTTACCGATGTGGCGGATAAAAGTTGGGGTAACTACACAACTGAGCATCTCTAGATACTCATTTTACATGGATGTCTTAACTTTTCTAAAACCTTCAAAAATGGCTATAGGCAGCTTACAATGTATCCACATTACAATTTTGTCCTTTTGTATAATTTTTATAATAATAAAATTAGATAAAACAATAAAGGATAAAGAGGAAATCATGTGTTTCAAAATAAAGAAACTGTTTGCATTCTCCAAAACGACTACGTCAATTACGTAGGAGAACTCTCTTATTCCTCAATCACGCATGGAACTTATTTAAGTTGAACCCCACTGCTAGAATAAAAATAACTCCAGATAAATCCAACAACTCCGAGAAGGTTGTACTTACATGGATGGATGACCAATGATATCAATGATCAAGAAGAAAGGAGATCTTCAAGATTTCAAAATCTCTGCAATCTAATGGATCAAACTAGATTGAAAGTTCTAATACAATGAAAGTTTAAAACTCGAGAGAGAATAAACTCAATAGGAAATTTCATTCATCAAATGTTGTTCCTTCAATTTTGGTATACAACCCTATATTTATAGTAATCGAAAAGACACACCCTTAGCCAAACTAGTCTAGATTCAGCCAACACTCATTCAAATCTATACATGAACCGTCTTAAATATAGATACATAAATTTGAATGGTACATAATGTATTATACATGATAATGAATCTAACTTTTGGATTCATTAATCTTCTGAAGTGAAAATGTGACTTATAAAACTTGAATGGATGCAACTCTTCACCAAACATGAATACCTTAACTTGAATATTCATATCATTTATTTTCGAACATACATCAATATATTCGAGGTTCAATTTATAGCAGTGGGTTCAAGTTTGACCATGGTAATTATCCCTCTCGTTCCATTGTCCATCATATACCATTATTAGAGGAATTAACGTGTAAAGACTCTTTAACTTTTTTAAATTGAAATTGTCTATGGACGTTACTAGATGCACGAACACAAAATTTAAAATCACAATGAAATAGTAGCAACAATATCTCATAAAATAACAAAACTTGAATAAAGTAAAATCTTTGAATAAAGTAAAATTGAATAATAAACAACCAAAAGATTAAAAAAAAATCTCAAATAACTAAACATCTTTGCCACTCGTCTTGTGCTATGTTGTTATTACATAAGAAAAATATTAGGAGTGATTTCATAAAGTAGCTCTACTAATCAGGTTGGAGTTGCATAAACATACATAACATGAATTATGACGTCTAGGGTAATCGAGAATAGATGAAAAACCGAGTTGACAGACTGAAACGAAGTCGATCACAGAGAGAGAGAGAGACTTGTTTTGTTTTTCGGGAATGAGATGTCCGACATCTTTATATTCTTGGAATTTAAGATGCCCATAATTTTAGATGTATGACATCTTCAGATAACCCTATTTGTTTTGTTGGAAAATTTATAAGGATGTTTTGGAATATTTAGATAGTCAGATTTGTTTTACAAAATCTATACCTGAGAATGTATTTAAATTACATATTGTTCCAACAATGCCCTTACCGTTCATCCTATAATTTTATATGTTAAATTTAATATTATTTGAATTCATTAAAAATTTTACTTTATTAATTTAATATTATATTTTTATGTCAACTTAATTTATATTTGATAATAATTGGAAGAGTAAAATAAATGAAAGATTGCACGTTGGATTTC